TAGGAAAACTTCAGTAGTATCTGGTTAAGGTTGAATGTCTGCATTTCTTATAGCTAGCAGGATTCCTGTTAGGTGAATGCCTAACAGAAACGTAAATGGATGTGCAAGAAAAGACATGTTATACAATATTTAAAGTAGCATCATTTATAATAGCCTACAACTGGAAGGTAGACATCTATGAATAGAATATATATTGACACAATGGAATAGCACACAGAAATGAGAATGATCTCACATGAAAGAATCTCAAATTGATGCTGAGCAAAAGCAGCCGTAGACAAAAAACAAAACAAAACACACACACACACACACACACACACACACAAAGTACTGTGTGGTTCTATTTATATGAAATACAGAAGCCAGGAAAGAGATTTCTCCTAAAATATAGCTTGGGTTGACAAGTAGTCTGTGGTATTAAATGTTCTTTGGAGGAGACGGTAGGTGTTTGTAAAGGCAGCTTAAGGAAGATTCTTGATTTGGGTGCTACTTATACAGACATGTTCAATTTCTGAAAATTTATTGAACTGTATACTTTTCTTTGCATATACTATATATCAATCAAATGTAAAAAAATAAAAGCTTATAGGAAAATATATTCATTATAAAATGTGAAGAAGCAATAAGAGCTTTCACTTAGGAGAGACAAAGAGATAGAAAGATAGAGAAACATGTTATTTTTCATGTTATTTCCTGGTCAGCAGACCACATCCAGTACTGTTGGATAGAAGTAGCAGGTTCTCCTAGAAGTAATTAAATTCTTCGTTGGAGAATCTGAAGGACCCATTCTTCTATCCTTTGTGCAGACACGTACCTTTTACATCCCACTTTCTTTTGGAGGGAATTCTGGGGGTCAGGGGTTGATATAGGACAGAAGAGCAACAGATTGTTGTTGAACAGACTTGAGATTGTCGGGACACAGGATTCCCTTAGTCATTTGTCAGACTTCTGATCAATTCCAAGTGTAACTGATCACAATCAAATAACTTGTCTAAAGGAGCTTTAACTTGTTTATTTTTTGCTTTTTTTTTTTTTTTTTTTTTTTTTTTTTTTTTTTGAGACAGGGTCTCATGTAGTTCAGGTTGACTCTGAACTCACTGTGTATCCTAGGTTGGCCTCAAACTTATGGTGATCCTCCTGCCTCGGCCGCCTAAGTGCTGGGATTATAGGTATGTACCACCATGCTCAGCTTTTAAAATTGTTTTTTCATTAAATATTTTCAATTTATTTCTTTCAGTGAAGCAATACATTCATATAGTTTTTAGAAATCAAAGCAATACCAAAAAATATATACTGAAGTTCAATACTCACTACTGTTCTTATGTACCCTGGAATCCTCTACAAAGTCAAAACATTGTTTTGAAGTGCTTTAGAAGGACACCTGAAGAGATGCTACTCACAACCCATCTTGCCACTTGGGGCCTCAATCTTATCTCCTGGTTTGTTTGGGGTTTTTTTTTGTCTTTTTTGGTACTGGGAATCGAACTCATGACCACACACTTGCAAGGCAAGTGCTTAATGCCGCTGAACTAAATCTCCAGTCAATCTTATCTCCTGATCACACTATAGCTTCTCCCTTTTCACTTGTGCTGGTTTCAGCTTAGGTACAAAACGTCAGTTTGTCATTTTCATCCAGGGCTCCAAGGTTATGGCTTTAAGTTTGGTCGGTGTAGATTGTATGCTGCAGATAAAAAAATCCTCCCCCACTCCTTTTTTTTCTTTTCTGATACCAGGAATTGAACTCAGGGCCTTATGCTTGCAGGCAGGTGTACTACTAAGCCACATCTTTGGGCCAAAAGAATCAAACTCATGACCTTTCATTTGCTAAGCAGGTACTTAAGCCATTGAACTATATTTACAGCCAAGAGATTCTCTTTTACCAAGTTTGTGATCTGTACTTTCAAATCAGTTATTTCTAATCTTGGTTTGCCATTCTTTTGAGGGAGTTTGCTGAAAGCTACTAAAAAAGACCCTCAATACCCACTAATGTTCTATATAGTTCCTGAGATTTCTCCTAAAATATAGCTTGGGTTGACAAGTAGTCTGTATTGAAGGTCCAGTAAACAATAGTCTCATGATGGTTTAACAAGGTTCACCAGCTTTCTTGTTTGGAATAGTCATCACAACTGCTACCTTAACCTCCTATTGGCCAATAACAAATTTTAGAGTATATTTTTAGTACCAAATTACTTTCCTCTTAGGAATGGGTGCAGCTACAAGTTACAGAACACCTACCAATAACTGACTTAAAGGTGGCTTCTCACATTCATGGACTAGATATGGGCAGGGGTGGAAGCAGAGCAGTGAGTCGGGAAGCTGTATTAGTCACTTTTCTGTTGTTGGGACAAAATACTCAACACCTATAACTCAAAGGAGGAGTTTATTTTGGCCTACAGTTTCAGAGGGTTCAGTCAATGGCCAGCCAGCTCCATGGCAGAAATGGCATGATGGAAGGGCATGGTGGAGGAAAGTTGTTCAAGCTATGGCAGCCAGGAAGCAGGGAGACAAGAGGGTTCTAGGGACAAGAACACACTCTTTGAGGTCATGCCCCAGTGACCCACCTCCAACCAGGCTCCACCTCCTTAGAGCACATTCAGAACTAAGCTCATCAGTGGATGAAATGCTAATGAGAATAGGGCCCCTGTGATCCAGGGACCTTCCTACTTGCAGCAATCCGCCTGCCTCAGCCTTCCAAGTGCTGGGATTACAGATGTGTGCCACCACATCTGGCCAGGATATATTTTGGTAGCATCAAAAGGATTTGTTGAATGATTAGTTATAAAGGTAAGCAATCTAGGCATGGTTGTGCACACCTGTAATCCCAACATTCTGGAGGCTGAGGCAGGAGTATTGCTGTAAATTCAATACCAGCCTGGGTAACCTAGGGAGCTCAAGGCCAGCCCAAACTACTTAGTGAGACTCTGTGTCATAAAACAAAATAGAGGCTGGGGATTTAGCTCAGTGGCATAAGCGCCTGCCTTGCAAGTGTGTGGTCGTGAGTTCGATCCCCGGTACGGATAAAAATGAAAAAGACCAAAGAAAACCCAAAACAAATAACCGTGACAAATGAACAAACACAAATAAAAGAAACACAAATAAAAGAAATCAAGAAGAGCTCTTAGAGTTTTAGTTTAAACAACTGAATAACAATGACATTTAGAAAACTCACTTAGTAAAATGGGCAGGTGACATTTACCACAATTTTCGGAGCCATGTTAAAATTTAAGATACCAGTTAGACATTCATGTTGAAATGTCAAGCAGGCGTTTATTTAGAGGACTTCGGAATTACAGAGAAGAGGGCATCCCAATTGAGATAAATTGTGGAGTCCTCTCCCTATAACTGTTAGCTAAAGATAGTAGGTGAAGTCACATAGGAAGAGTGGGTAGACAGAGAAGGGTAGAATCCTAGGAACTTTTATATTTATATGCTGAATTGAGGAGGGGAAGCTAATAAAATAGCCTAAGAAAGAAGAGTCAGAGAAATCAGGATCAAGAGTGTGCACTGCCAGAAAACAAGAAAAAAAAGTGTTTCAAAGTAAAAGTGATTAACTATGATGAATAGTATTAACAAGGCAAGTCAAATAAAAACAGAGATCAAAGAAGAGACTACAGAGTGGCACAGAGATTGTCATTTCAGTGGCATGGTGGGAGAGAAACCAGAAAGCCGGTTTATATGCTGATGGCAATGATCTGATCCAGAGGGAGCACTTGCTGACTTGAGAGACAGGAAAGAGAATATCCGTAGAAGAGGGGGAAGCATTGGTTAAATAGAATGAGAACACCGCTCATCTACTATACATTGAATTTCTTAGAGATCCCATGTCTTATCTGTATTTCTATTAGCTGTCCAGACAGTGCCCAGTACAAGGAATCCTCACAGGGAATTCAAGAACTGTTATTAAAAGGACACATGGAGGAATGGACTAAATGGACGGCAGTACAGGGGACCTGGAATGAACTGGAGCAGACTAATCCAAACTAAGGAAAGCAGAAGGGTTACTGAGTCAAGATGGCCTTTTAAAGGATCCTGCGTTTTTCTTTGGAATAATTTAAAAGATTTTAACTTCAGATGTAGATGGGAGAATGAGATAGTCAACGACAGTGGCACCGACCAACTTTCAAGGTACTGAAAGGCTGAAGAGAGGGTTCTAGGATCATCTACCTAGTTGCTTTTTTCTTTTCTTCTTTCCCCCCCCCCCTTTTTTTTGGTACCGGGATCGAACTCACGGCCTTGCACTTACCATGCAAGCGCTTGAGCCACTGAGCTAAATCCCTGGCCCTACCTACTTCTTGTCTCCACTTTTTTGAATCCAGACATGTAAGAATGTGTCTTTATGGACACAAATGGGCGGAGGGATTTAAAAACTGAGGGCTCTACATTTATTCTGGTCCATTAAGTAGATATTTGTTGAATGACAATCTTGCATAGGCCCAAAGGTGTGAGAACTCAGGCACTGTCTGTTTCTGAAAGTGCTTTGATTTCACGAACTGCACCGAAAAGGGGTATTTGAACTGGGACTTGCAAGTGAACAAATACAGAGGTTGACTGGGCTTGTGGAATGGCGCAAAAGCTCCAAGTGGCGCGGCCTGCACCTGCGCCCTCTAGCTGTCGTGTTAGGGAACGTCTCCTAGCATCTCCCCATCGTGAAGTCGGAGGAACCCGCGGACCCACACAGGAGGGGCAGAACCAGGGGCCGGCTATGGAGCCCACCCATCCTCCAGCCTACCTCCCAAGCGGAAAGGCAATCTTGGGGGCGTCCGGGGCTACCTCTTAACCGGCCGGGCCCCTGGGCTCCTGGGAGCGCAATTCCGCCAGGAGCCGGGTGTGGCCTGCAGGAACGAGGGTACAACTGCGTCTGTCGCACATTACACGTGGACTCACTGAAGTCATCCACACGGTTTCGGGCCGAGGGCGGGGCCTGAGGCGCCCAGAGTCGGGCGGAAGGGATTGCGCGTGCGCGAGAGGCTGGACCACGGGCGAGACCTACGGCTGCCAGGGGCGGGCAGAAGCGAGCGCGCGTGCGCGGGAGGCCGGGGGCGGGGCTGACGGGCCGGGAAAGCATTTTGGGGACGGGGGCTGGCAAGGCTCAAGCGGGAGGGCTTCGTATTCACGGCGGGGACGGTGAGGGTGAGTGAACTGATTAGTGGAATAGGCCTGACCCTTAGGGCTGAGGTCCATGGATGACACTCGGGTAACGTTCTCAGCGGGCGGCTCCCTGGGACCGTGGGGTTGGTACCGGAGGCGGGAGCGTCTGGGTGAGGGTCTCTGCGGCTGGGAGCAGGGCCTGACCCGGAGGTGGAAGTCAGTGTCCACGCTGCGGGCGTTGGAGCCTGTCTGGCCCGGCGGAGTCGATCTCCGACCTCTTGGCTGGTCAGGGCTCCCAGGACCAGGCTGTGGGACCACTTGTGCGCGATTGGACCCCGCCTCTTGCTCCCTCGAGGCTGTCGGGACGGAGGCATCCCAATTCCTCAAGGAGGAGACCTACAGTCCTGTCCACTCCGTCCCCTAGGTTCAGGCCGCCTTCGCAGCTGTTGCTCTGGACTCGCTCAGTGAGCCCTGACTGCTCGTTTGTATCCCTTCTGGGTCCCTCTGTAGCTTGTTCAGTACTGCTGAGCGAGAGCCATGATCTTCAACCGAAATTTTTCACTTATCCTCGTCCCTCTCCCTATTCTTTTATCCTTTTGGAGATGCCATAGTTCTTCCATGCTCTTGCACATGGTTTGCAATACTGAGCACTGAACCCAGAGCCTTTGCATTAAGCTACATACCTAGATCTTTTTAGAAATATTTTGAGACAGAGTCTTGTTAAATCGTTGTTTCAAATTTGTGATCCTCCTGCCACAACCTTCCACTGTGTTGGAGTCACCGGCTTGTACTGCCATGCCAGACTGCAAGGCTATTTGTAACCTGTCCTCTTTGTACATTACTGAATACTCATTCTGCTCAGCTGTGCTGTGTCTTCAACTCTATTGAGTGTTTTAGTGCCTAGATTGGAGTGACTCCCTTCTGGGGTTAGATGTTTGTTGTGTGTTGCTTCTGTCTGGGGCACTGTCCTTTGGTTGAAAGAACCCTCATGCTTCATGTGTTATTCCACGTGGGAGTTGGGGCTTCTGCCATACCCCGTAGATGTCTGTTTATTCTTTTGTCCACCCAGCTGTGATCTGTGTGAAAGGAGTCTTGCCTGGGCCACATCTGTCCTTAGTATCTCAAGCTGTTTATTATGCTGTTGTTCGTGTGGTACCAGGCAGTTCATATGTTAGTTTAATGTATCAATAAAACATGACTACCTCTGGGGCCCCCCAAATAAATGAACAAATAGGTGCGTTCTCAACTGGCAGCCCATGTAAAGGTTTCTTTAGCCGAGGAACTTGATTGTTTTCTTGCCTCTTGAGTTCAAAACTATGGCAGTGGCAAATGGGGAAGTACTGGTCAGGGTTTTCTTTGGCATTGGCTCTGGGTATAACAGGTCTGGATGTTGGTGAGTGTGGTTGCTTTTAGAATGAATTCATAACTGAGGCCCCTTGGCTGGGGGAAAAGCTGCCAGCAGCTGCTAGAGGAAGGCTGGCTTCAGATTTTCATGTGCCAAATGACACAATGGGAGGGAAGGGCAGGTCAGGCCAAGCCAGCAGTGGGAGACTTCCAGGGCAGGTTCCAGTTTAGGTCAGTCCCCCTCACCCCTAAGGAACAACACGCCTGGGCGCCAGACCCATTGTCCCCATCCAGACCTGAAGGCATACTACCCTAGTACAGCTCTGCAGTGCTCGCAGCTTAATGAGAGCCAGAAAAGACCCATTACTGTACATGGGTGGCCCTTAGAGAGGAAGAGAGAAAAACAGAAAAGAACAGTATGTGACCATATGTTCAGGTTAAGTGAGTGTGAGAGGTTGCAGACTGAGGTCAGAGGAGGACTAAGCCAGTGCTGGCTGGAAGAATTTGTAGATAACGTCTGAACCTGTCCTGGGAGGAACAAGATGTGGATCACTGGAACCAGTGTAGGTAGAGGCCATGGTACAGGAAGGAGCTACAGGAGCAGAGAAGGAAGCTGTTAGGATCCAGTCACAGTGCCCATTACTGCCTGTGGTCCAGCACCTCCTAGGGTTGAGGCTGTTCCTTGGGAGGGCTGGATTGTGATCTGGTCACTTTGTATAATTGTCTCCTCTCTTGGATTTCCTCAGCCTGGCCTGTATCAGTCCTGGAGGTCAGTAAGTTAGGAGCGCCTGGGGCTTATCTTCTAGGCTATTTGCCCATTGCCTTGAGCTGAATAGCTGGAGTGTGGATGATGCAATTTGTTCTTTGGGCAGAACAGAGTAGCATGTGTTTCCTTTTGGAGGTGAGCAGTTTAATTTGTAAGTAGCAGCACTTGGGATTTTTTCCTTTTATATGTTTATAGATTTGGCATTAATGTATGTTAATGGTTAGAACCTGCAACAGCAAACCAAAATGGGATGAATTCAACTTCAGCAATTCTTGGCTTTTACGCCATTTACCCTGAAAAGGGAATAGTTTAGACTCATAGTTCCTGTATTACTATTACCCAAGTAGAGCCCCCTTCCCAACAAATACACACACTCCAATTTGGTACACTAATGATTTACCCATGTAGTTAGGGAAAAGGGTGCCATGGGTTCTCTGTCACTCAGCGCTGCCATCTATCTGATAGACATCTCCAGTTTTATCAATTATATTAACATTAAAACTTGCTGCTGATCTGTGAAGGTGGTAGTAATCTCCCAAGTCCCCCAAAGGACCTCTGTCCAAGCCTGTGCTCTGTGCCCCAGGCCGAGAATACTCTCCCAGCCAGTAATCAGTCAGTTTCCCAGGTGGCGTTTGCAGATGTCTTCAGCCATGGACAGGACCCTTCGGAAGGGAGCTTATGGGGAGAATACCTAAGCCAGAGCCCAGATGAAGAAACATCTGAAGGGCCCTAGAGGGACTCTGATCCCTCCTGTCCCAGAACTTACAGGGTGTGTGCTCAGAAAAAGTTCTGCTCTAGCCAGCAGTCATTGTTGGGGTAACTCCAGACCTTGCTTTCTGGTACTAGATACAGTGGCAGTGGCCTTCCAGGGATCACAATACTTTTATTTGGTAAAACTGAAAGTGTGGCTTCTGGCTTCCCTTGAATTAATTTCTGGAGATAAGAATGAACTGGAAACTCTCCTATCCATGTAGTATTGAAACAAAATTATGCAAATGCAAATATGTAATTATAAAGAAAAATATATATTTTTTGTCTTTTTGAGACAAGGTCTTTATGCAGTTCAGGCTGGCCTTGAGCTCACTATGTAGCCTAGACTGGTCTCGAACTAGCAACAATCCTCCTACCTTAACCTTCTGAACGCTGGAATTACAGGCGTGAGCCACCACATCTGGCTAAGAAAAATATGTTTATCATACCTACTTTTTTTGGTCTTTTTTATTTTTTATCAGTACCAGGGATCAAACTCATGACTGCCTGCTTGCAAGGCAGGCATTTATGCTGCTGAGCTAAATCCCCAGCCCCATATCATAGCTACTTTGGAGCAGTAGAAAAATAAGATATAATCACTCCTACTTTTGTGATGCAAGACTCTCTTTGTTAATAGTTTTTTTTGGAGAAAATAAAACCAAACAAAATAAAACAGAATAGAGTCAGTCAAAACAAAACAAGGAACATGGTACATGACTTTAAAACAAAATACAAGGAAGTGAATAATGGCTACCGTAATCTCTCTTGTTATCTTCAAAAGAACTACCCATACCATCAGGCATGATAAAGTCAAACAAAATAGTACAGAATAAAACCAATAAAAACAAAACAGTGGAAGCAGTACAGGATTTTAAAACAAGGTAATAGTAAAACCATAGTGGGTATCAAACAAAATAGTACAGAATAAAACCAATTTAAAAAAATGGAAGCAGTACAGGATTTTAAAACAAGGTAATAGTAGAATCATAGTGGGTACCGTAATGCATCTTGTTATCTTTAAAGTGGTTGCCTATACCATCAGACATGATACAATCAAATCAAAATGGAATAAAATCAGTCAAAATAAAAAATGAAAGCAATACAAGGATTCAAAACAAACTAATAGGAAATCAATAATGGCTACCATAATATATTTTGTTATCTTTGAAATAGCTGTCCATGCCATCAGATATAACAAAATTAGATAAACAGAAACAGAATAAAGCCAAACTAAATAGAACAATGAAAACAATGTGGGTTTCAAATCATGATAATAGATTATCAGTGGCTACAACCTTCCCTTTTTAGACATTTCCTCCCTTTCACTTTTACAGGATGTATTGTGCATTTTGGATCCCACCAACTCCGTTAGTTTTTTATACTAGGGAGACTGTTAATAGTTTTTATTGTGTGTGAAATATATATGCACAGCTTTTTATTTTATGAAAGTGAAATATTTTTGAGAATGTCTCGCTATATAGTGCAGGCTGGCCTTGAATCCTATGTAGCCCAGGCTGACCTCATGTTGCGGTCATCCTCCTGCCTCAGCCTCCCAAGTGCTTGGATTATAGGCATGCACTGGTGCCTAACTAAAAATGAGCATTCTTTGTCGACTTTTGCATTCTGCTCTTTTTCATCTAGTTTATGTTGAAGATTTTATTATGTAGTGTGACAGACTGCTCTGTGATGTTACTGCTCAGTCATGAGGCTAAATTTTGCTTTTTAGCACCTGGAAGTTACACATCTTGTTCCCTGTAAGGGGAATGCCATGGAAGGCGTTGGGTTTGGGACATTTTTCTGAGCATCATGGGGTGGCATACTCTCAGGGACCTACCCCAAGAGCCTTTTAGGATGATGAGGGGCTGCAACACCTCTGTCTTCCAACAACCCCAGGCACAAGCCAGGAAGAGAGGAAACAGTGCCTCCTGCTTTCTCTTTATGCTATAGGTGTGGCCAGCTGTAGCTGACCCCTCGGGAAGCAGTGGTTCTTGTCCAATAGAATCAACTCTGCCTTTCGGGAAGTGAATGTAGTATCAGCCTTTTCCTTGATTTTATATATCGCTCTCCAGCTGTCCTTCACCCTCCTTTCTGGGCTCAGTTGCTAAGTCCCAGGAAAGACCAAAACTCAGTGGAGCCGCAGTGGCTCACAGCCTGCCAGCAGTGAATACCCACTCCCTGCCTCTGAGCGGGCTCTGTGGCTGACCAAGTTGTCCTGTTGGCACACAATTCCAGCTGTTGCCGGACTGCAGAAGGATGTGATAGGGTCCCGTCATCGATCCTCTGTGCTCTTCCCAGTGCCCTGCTGCAGTGGGTAAGTTCCTCACCTCTGTCTTGGCCTGGAGGTGGGCGAGACAGGAGTTCCGTCCTCTTTGCGTTCTGCCTGTCTCAGGTTGGTCTGACCTGTCTTATCGCCTTCCCAGCTCCCGTGTCCTGTCCACACTCAGTCCTGTGCACCTTCCCCACAGAGCGGCCAGGTGAGCAGGCTGAAGCCACGCTCTGATCTCATCTCCAGTCGTGCACTGTCAGTTGTTCCCTTGGATCCTCAGGGGACCTCAGCATCCTGGGCCTGGTGTACAAAGACGAGTCCTGTACAGCCGACTCGACCTTTGCCCCCAGCCACTGCGGCCCTCCCTCCCAGGAGACAGAGCTGCCTGTGCCTTCTTCCCCGCCTGTCTGCGCCTGTCCCTCCTTACTCCCACATTCCTTGTTCCTTCTGTGCCTCTGTGACTGTCCTTCCAGCCCAGCTAAAGTGTCACCGTGCCTGTCAGCATATTCCGATTGTCTGTCTCCAAGGAACTTCCTTCTCCTGAACTTGCAGGTGTTCTTTTTTCTCTAGTACCCCTTATTTTCTTCATCGTCCTCCTCTTTTTCTTTTCTTCTCCCTCCTTTTTTTTCTTTACTAGGAATTGAATCTAGGGCCTTTGCCTTGAGCTACATCACAGATTCTTTTCTAATTATTTTTGAGATGGGGCCTGTCTAAGTCACTGAGTTGCTCAGGCTGGGCAGAGACTTTTGATCCTCCTTCCTCAGCCTCTCGGAGTGCTGGGATTACAGGTGGGCATCACCCCTTTGCTTTTCTTTTGCTCCCAGGATGGCATGTTACTCCCCATGGACTGTAAGCTTGTGGGTGGGACGTAATCTTAATCCCTTTAAGCCCTTATGGAGTTGAAGGTGCAGAGGAAGCGTTGTGGACCCCTTCCTCATTCATGTGATCTCACAGTATAGGGGCGGAACTGGGCTCAGGCCCAATTTGATGTGCTCTCTTTTCCAGCCACACTACCTCACTGGGTTTCCTAGAAGCATCCTGGCTTGGATGTTGAAAGAAATCTCTGGCACTCTGTCTTCATCATTGGTGTTTTCCACTTCCTAGGTACCAGTGACCATGAGATCCCTGTGGCTGCTCAGAACCCCCTTCATGTACAGCCTGCTCTGGGCCTTTTGTGCTTCAGGTGCCAGAGCCCATGAGCCTGGGGCCAACGCCATCCATCCTGGAAGCGCAGGCCTGAATAAGCACACAGTGCATGACCAAGAGTACGTATCACCTGGACGGGAGTCTCCCCATCCTTTGCAGCCAGTTGCAAGGGTACCCTTGGTCCTGTACCTTCCTCACTTTCATACAACTCAGGGGTGCTTATTTCTGAAAGCTGCCTCTCATTTGGGTGTTCTTTTCTTACTACGGAGTCACATTGAGGCCCAGATGAATAAATTACTTGTCTGAGTTCAGTCTTTCTCTTTACCAGAGGTAGACAGACATACACAGATCAACATGCATATGCATATGCATGCACAGGCGCAGTAGCTATCCTGAGCTACTTATCTAACCCTTCTGTTCATTTTTTATTTTTTAAAAACAGGGTCTTGCCCAGTCTGGCCTCAATTTCAGAACCCACTTGCTACAGTCTCCCAAGTAGTTAAGGTTATAGGCAGGTGCCACTGCCCCCCAGCTGAAGCTTAAGATCTTGAACTTTTTGGAGCCCTCACAGTTTTGGCGTGATCTGACTCTTATTTCTAGGCATATCATGGAGCATCTTGAAGGTGTCATTAACAAACCAGAGGTGACAATGTCCCCACAAGAATTACAGCTCCATTACTTCAAAATGCACGACTATGATGGCAATAGCTTGCTTGACGGCTTAGAGCTCTCCATAGCCATCACTCATGTGCATAAAGAGGTAGGTCCGACTGCGCCTGGGGAGGAGTCCCAGTCCCGGTGCTCTGTGCTGCCCTTGTGCCTCAGTAGCACCGCTTCTCCTCCCTGCTGCTCTGCTGGCTCCCAGTCACTGCTTCTTCCCGAGGGGTGTCCTGTGGAGCAGAGGCCCCAGGCTGCCACTTGTATCTTGAGCTCTGTGTCCCGTTTCCTGCTGTACAGCAGAGTATAGGAGCCGGCCCTAAAGAGACAGGGGACAGCCCCGGTGCAGAGCCAGGGGAGGAAGCTGTTGCAGCAGAGAACATGGCAAATCAGCACCAAAGCACGAGGACCTCAGGTGGCTGAGGGTTGGTGTCACTCCGTACAGATTAGCTGCTTGTCCCTTGGCTACAGCCTCCCGTCTTTCATTGAGGAAGCTGAAATCAAGATCTGGCTCCTTCAGAGTCACTGTGGCTGCATCAGCAGCCCAGAGTGCAGGTTGGGGTTTTCTCTGGAGGCAGCAGGGAGCACTGGCAGTTCATGCAGTAGAGGGACAGGTTTGGGAAGGTCCTGTGAGTGGAAGCAGGTTAATGGTCAGACCGACAGACAGAGTGGTTTTGGGAAAGGGAGCTGGGGTTGTATCCACGACAGACAAGGACAGTGTGTGGCCGTAGAGGGGAAGTGAGGATGCAGGAGGTGTGGCAAAGGAGGAATCAGCTAAGGCTGTGCTGGCCCTGGCTACCCTGCTTCTTTCATTTTTTACAGTACTGGGGATTGTATCTAGGGGCCTCACACTGAGCTACATTCTCAGCTTTTTTATTGACATTTAAAAAAAATTTTTTTTAAATAGGATGTTGCTGAGTCACTCAGTTGCCCAGGCTAGGCACAAACTGATGGATGAGTTTGTGGGTTCCTGGAAGTAGCCATACGTTACATCACAGGAGTTTTTGGACACATGTGAGCGTGGACATTTTGGATGTTAGCTCAGCACTTCCTCCAGCAAGTGCCCAACTCATCCTTGTCTGATTTCTGTTTTGTAGGAAGGAAGTGAGCAGTTGCCACCTATGAGTGAAGATGAACTGATTAGCATAATTGATGGTGTTTTGAAAGACGATGACAGGAACAACGACGGATACATTGATTATGCTGAATTTGCAAAATTACTACAGTAAAAGCTGTCTGGCCATCTGGTTCTATGCAAACATGACCTGTGATAATGTGATGGAATGCTTTTGGTAAAGTGAAGTAACTCATTTACAGCTACTGCTGCAGCAGTTTGGTAAAAATCTGTAGCAATTTATTACACTGGGGTGAGAAAGAAGCATCAACAGGAATAGAAGATAAACTATCTAGTAGTCCCTAAGTGCTGTTGTATCTCTTACTGGACAAGGGCTTAATTAAATAATCCTTTTGAAGGTGTTGAAAAATTGGAGCCCAGAACTCAGGAACCTAACCGTAGAACTCTGCTCTTTTCTTGATTTTGATACATGCGACCTGGAAAGTAGAACAGAAAGCTTTGCCAAGTGGACACGCTTTTCAGTAACAGGGAAGGAAGGGGTGGAGTGAATGCCAGACTTGTCCCCCTTGGTCCTGTGTCTTCTGGTGAGCGTGGCCAGCATTGTGCAGTTCCCATGGCCTAGGCGATCACTTCCTCAGGGTGAGTGGCTCTTTATTATAATAGACTGTGTCAAAGTCACAGCGTAAGATTGTCAGATACTGAGTTTAGCCATCTACAGTCTAAGATTCTGTATCCCCTGGCATTTTGGATGATAAACCACTGGCCTAAGTCATTAACCTTCTTCAGATTTTCAGTATTTTATATAACTCCTGCCACATCCTCTTTATTTTACTTCTTTCCTGTGGTCTTCAGCCTGGGAGAGATTCTGAATTTAAAGTGTTCTCTCGTCAGTAGCACATGTTTTTAGCTTTCTTAATATTCGTATTTGACTCTCGTTTCCAGGGTTTCCTTATTATATTTAGGAACTTTTAGGAATGTGAGGATTTAGGAAAGAAGGTCTAAGTCATTAGCTGCTCTAGCCTAAGTAGGAAGTGAGAAGAGCTTTCACCAGAAACAGTGATTAAGCTGATCCAAGTTCTTCTTTCCTTTTGTATTGCTGGGGATCGAACCCAGGATCTCACACACACCAGGCCAGCGCTCTACCACTGTGCTGCAACCCTACCCCTTGATGCAAGATCTACTTTGAAGGAATGTTGTTTAAATTACCTCTTCCAGCCTGAATACATGAGTTCTTTCAGGAAAGAGTAGAGAGGGAAGCCTAAAACCTCTTTCAACAGTGTGAATCTTAGTAGTATTTGGAAGTGGGAAGCTGCAGACGGGTTTGTTGAATGTGATAGTCACGCTAGAATGGAAAACCTAAAATGCTAGTTGAATGGGAAAAAGAAACTGCATAAAGTTTGCTGCAAGACGCATAGAGACTTATTTTCTTTATTAAAGTATTCTTATAAGAAAAATACGTATTTGTAAAAATGGTTTCCTGTGTCATGTTTTGTGCAATTAGAGCTAACTTGTAAACTATTCTTGTAATATCTCATTGTTTTGAAAGATTTATATAATGAATCGTGGATATCTGACCAATAAAACAAAAATGATCTGCACTTGGCTTTGCCCGCACGAAGGGCTTGTTTGTTCAGCGAAGGTGTTTGCATCTGCTTGCTTCTCACGTAGGGGCTGTGACCATGCTGAGCTATACCCTGTCTCCATTTTTGTTTGGTTGTGTAGTTCTGGGAACTGATCCCAGGGCCTTTGCACTGAGCCACATCTCCAGCCCTTTATTTTTTTATTTTGAGACAGGGTCTTGCTAATTCACTAATTTGTCCAGGCTGGACTTGAACTTGTGATCTTCCTGCCTCAGCCTCTGAGTGCTGGGAACTTACGTGTACACCCCCACTCCAGGTTTACCTTGCTTCTTTTTCAGGATAGATTCTCCATATTCAGTCACTGCACCCATTTAGGCGTCTTTGCCCCTTCTGAGTGAAATCACAGACACCCCCACCTTCCCACCCCACACTGAAGAACGAACCCAGTGACTTCACACTGGACTATTTTATCAACCTTTTAAAAAAGACTATTTTGAGAGAGTCTCCCCATGCTGCCAAGTTGTCCAGGCTGGGCTTGAATGTTCAGTCCACCTGCCTCTCCTCCCAGAGTGCTGGAACTGCAGATGTATGCCGCCTTGCCTGGCTGGATCTTTCTTTAGCCACATGCAGACTATGACAGCCTTCTCTAGGAGAGTACAATGTTTTCCCTTGAGCCTGAAATTTGCCAGAAATTTTCATGAGATAACTTTGAAACCTCCCAGGCCCAAGCTTAAAACAGTCTCCCTGGCCTGCTGGAGATGATACATTTCATTCTGCCTGTTGAAAAGGAAATTATTCTTTCATCCTCCCAAGAGACTTGGTCCTTAGACCCGACCCTTCTTGGGGAGCTGCCCTCTGGAAGGTCTTGGTGACCAGGCTCACAGCTGGAGGCACCTTAAAATGATGCCGGCTGGAGGGGTGGGGGAGGCGGTACTTGAGGAAGGTTGCTCACCACAGGCAGGGTGGAGCCTCCTCCGGCTGGGACATAAAGAGGAGGGATGGGCATGAGCTTTCATCGGTTGCTGTTTGTTTTTATTTATTTATTTTGCGGTACTAGGGATCGAACTCATGACCTTAGGCCACTGAGCTAAATCCCAGCCCCATTGTTTGCTTTTAAAATTTATATCGTGTTCTTCGAACTTGGGGACTCGCACACAGATGAAAAGTTTCTCCTGTGCTCCCCATATCACAATGCCACACCCTCTGGCACCTCACCTCCTTTCTCTCCATCCTCCTAACAAGGGGGAAAAGGTACTACTGCTGCTGGTGGCCTCAAGATCTCTGAGTACCAGAAAAGGGATTGTGGGAGCAATTGACGCTAGAAATTGACTACATGGGTGCAAGACTATGGCATGGCCAGGGCATCCCTGTACCAAAAAGACCCCCCTGGGGCAAGCCACTTGAAGTTGGTGCAGCCCAGAAAAACACCAGGCCCCTAGGCAATCCACACAATAGCCTAGTCCCCTAGGCTGTGGGGTTGAAGTGGACATCAGCCTCCCGAGTGTATAAAGATGCCACACTGGCTGAGCAGTTTCTTTCCTCCTACCAGCAGGGTAAGGACTCCACCGACCCCAGCTTTGTCTCTTACTTTCTTGTCGCTTTCTTTGTGTCTTATTTTCTTTGTCTCTTATTTCTCTAGCAGTCCTTTACCCCAAGAACCTCTAGAGCCACAGCGCTCCAGGGTCTGTTCCCACCTGTTCCTGAACTAATGAAGGTGGTCCTGGGAATCCTGTCAGACCCGTGAGAGGGACACTTCTGGTCCGAGGGACACTTCTGGTCCGCCCTACTTCAGTGCACAATACATGCTCACCTGGTGTTTATACAAAGAAACAAACAGCAGGAGACCCTTCAAGCCCTGCCCTGAGCTGTCTGCATCTCCACAGCACCCCTGCCCAGTCTCCAGTGAGGGACAGGCTGGCTCCTCAGCTAGCAGGACAGCAGATAACCAAGTGCCCACAGGCCATACTGAGTGCTTTACCTACTTTAGGTTTCATTGTGTTAAGCCTCCTAACCACTCTAGGTAACTTATACTTTGATGTTTTGTTTTATTGTTGGTTTGGTTTTGCTTTGCTTTCCTTTTTGTCTTGTTGAGCCGGGTCTCATTATGCAGTTCAGGTTGACCTTGAGCTCACTTTGTAGACCAGGCAGGCTGGCCTTGAACTAGCAAAGATCATCCTGCCTCAGCCTCCCAAGTGCTGGGATTACAGGCATGCACCACCACACTAGGCTGCTTTTGTTTTGAGACATGATCTCACTATGCTGTCTGGGTTGGCCCTAAATTCACTATGTAGGCCAGGCTGGCCTTGGACCGTGATCCTCCTGTGGCAACCTCTCAAGTGCTGGGTAGTTAATTTTTAGATAAGAAACCAAAGTTTTAGAAATTTTAAAGAAATGTCAAATTTCTGCTCTGAAGAAGTTGGACCAGAGATGCTCTTACCTTGAAACATGAAGCTGAGGGAGGGGGTGGGGGTCATCACAGAACACAGCATCTGGGTTCTGCACTGGATCACTTGCTGTGGGTGGGTGCCCTGGGAAGGTCAGAGGTCCCTTTCCAGGAGATACTGAACCTCCCTATGGAAAGTGAGGTGTCTCAGCATGGAAGGCTCTGGGTGACATCATCACCTACATGTGCTGTCTGAGCTTCCCATCACCCCCCACTGGGGCAGTGCGGGGTGGGGGGGAGGACATGCAGCCATGCCAGCCATGGACACAGGGCCCTGCTGTGCAGGGAGTAGGTGGAGAGCTCACAGAGGTCTTATAGCACGACAGGGGTAGGGGAATGGGGACCGACCCAAGTGGCTAGGCTGCCTCGAGACTGAATTAGGCGGAGTACCCCTTTCTCTGGCTGTGGGGATATCTAAGAAAGTTGGGCAGGGGTCTGTCCATGGTCTGTGCCCCTGAGAAGAGATGGGACACCCAGCCAAGGTGGTCTGGGGGGAGGGCTTGGATGTTGGGAGCCAGGGCGCGGTGAGTAGCGTGTGAGGGCTGGTGGGTGAGGCGATCTGTGGTGTGCAGCGCTGCACAGACTCCGCTGGTGTGAGATGGGGACGTGGTGACCATGTTCAAAGGGATAGGGATGCCGTGGGTGCTGAGCCAGGTGTGCCTGCATGGCTTTTCCTAAGGGCTTCAGAAGTGACCATTCTTATGGGTTAACAGGGGCCAGGAAGCCATCAATAACAATCTATCAGCAGCCCAGGTAAGTCACTGGCTGGGGAGAAGATGGCACAGAGCAGGAGTAGAGATAGACAGAGACTTCATGGAGCCAGAGGGGAAGTCCTAGGGCCACAGCTGATGACCTCTGCCTCGGGGTGAGGCTTCCAGTCTGAGGCTTTGTGCTCCTCTCTCATGGAGGCTGGGCTCACCTTTGGTCAGCTCCAAGAAAGTGGGTGCACCTGCACCTCCCCACCCTGCCCCACTGGCCAGAGATTTGGGGGTTAGGCTGGCACTTCTACCCAGTCTGAGCCAGTAGGTTTTTCTCTCAAGGACTAAGACACAGTCGCAGGGAGGTGTGCGTGGAGAACCGTGATGCTGCTCAATATGCAGGGGGCAGAATTCGTGAAAGCTGAACCTCAGGCTCCACCAAGATCAGCTGAGTCAGAATCTACTTTCAACCGATCTTGGGTGACTGCCAGGCGTGAGTCACCTGGAGAAGCCCTGCCATAGAGATCTGGTCTGCAGGTACTGCTGTCAAGACTTCGGAGCGGACTTGTTCTTGTCTTTGGTTTCCAGTGGGCTCCCTTTGAATTGAATCACCTGTTCTAACTCCTGCCCGCTTGGGTTCTGCAGTGAACCTTACTTGTGCATGTGGGCAAGCTGAGTGTGTAGGGGACTGGGAGATGCGAGTAAGTGTTGTAACCTATATAAAACCCCCTCATAGGTCTCCCCGGAGGCAAGAGAAAGATCAAAGGTAACTCTAAGAGCAGAACAGGATGTCTTCCCAATCTAAACTTGCTTATTTGCAGGATAACTAGCTTGTTTGTGCGCTTCATTATTGCTGTTATGTTTGTGTTATGCCAAAGTACCTGTAACGCCGCCTACTGTTCTGTATGCATTTTCCCCCCTCTGGATGACCTAATTGATATGTTAATCAATGCTCTCCTCTGTAAAGAACTGTGAATCCCTGGAAACTTAACCTAATTGATATGTTAACCATTGTTGCCCTCTACAAATAACAGATGTAGTGCTAGAATAAGCTGACAAAGGATTGTTAATTACTGCTAGACCTCTGTTCTCTGCTAAGGAAAACTAAGGTCTTTCTCATTAGCAGATTTCCTGATCCACGCCATAACCCCTTACTTTGAAAACTGTGATATGTACGTAAAATAAAGGCTGCAAGTATGGGGGAGCGACACACAGGTTTTGCACCTCCAACTGCACTGTGTTACTGGGCCCAGGATAAAATAAATCAGCGCTGCTTTTTAAAATACGTTTTTGCCTCATTTTTTGACCTGGAGTTTGGGGGCTCGTTTGTGGCTTACAAGAGTTTGCATGATGACTTGCTTGTTTGCAGGATGTGCCTTCCCCAGAGGGAGTTTGCCTAATCTAAATTTGCTTGTTAGCACAACCCTTACCTGAACCTTGCTCTTCCCAAGAAATGTAACCACTGTGTTCCTGTTCTGTAGTGCACTGCAGCAAAAACGCCCCCTGCATTGTGAGACCAGCAGATGTTTGCGGTTTTACAGGATAAAACTCTGCCCTTTAGCTGTTAGGCGTGCAGTCTTCCATACTGGCTACTGGAGGCTGCGTTGCCAGGCCTGTGCTTTAATAAATGATTTTTTCTTTCCAAGTTATTTTCTCTGGCTCCTTCATACCTTGGGAAATGGACCACCACAGTGAGAAGCCAGTGTGCCACCCCAGCTGCCTACCTCCCAGGGGATTGCCCTTTGTGTTTGTAAATGCTCTGAGTCTCATGAGATGAAAATCTCTCTGAAATGAGATGGTTTCGTCATTCATCTTTTAGTATGAAGTAGCTTCTCCAATTCTTTCCCAAGGGAGCCTTTGCTGAGTTGGACACAGGA